CGTAGCTCTGCCGGCACAAACCGGGGATGATCCGGGCTATGATATAGCCGGTAGAGCTACGGTAGAGCTACGGTAGAGCCCCGGTATATGCCGGCAGAGCCCCGGTAACTACAGGCAGAGCCCCGGAGGATAAAGGTAGAGCTACGGTTGATCCCGGTAGAGCCCCGGTAGAGCCCCGGCAAAGCCCGGATCATTTCAAAAAAATAAGGACAATTTGTGATGATTGAACTTGTTTGTATTAAAAGCCTTCCCATTTCCCTTCTATCCAGTATTGCATAAGGATTTTTCAGAAAATCATCATGAATTACTATTCTGGAACAATAGATATTAAATTAAATAAAAATTATTTATCAAAGTTATCATTTTCGGGCGTTTTCAATCCACCGGGGTTCTACCGGGGCTCTGCCTGGATCGTCCTGGGCTTTGCCGGGGCTCTGCCTGGATCGACCGGGGCTCTGCCTGGGTCAACCGGGGCTCTTCCGGCGTCATCCGGGAACGACCGGGGAAGCACCGGCATGAACCGTAGCTTCACCTGGGCTCTGCCTGGATGATCCGGAGCGCATCCTGGGTGGTTAGTAGGGAACTACCGTAGTGCTGCCGGGGTAAGTGTGACCGCAACAATAATTTCATCCCGGATCGTCCAGGATCATCCCGGTAACTTACCGGGATGGTCCTGGGCTCTGCCGGGAGTAAGTGAGACCGAGGCTTAAAACGGTGTCCTTCTTCCTTTAGATATGCCTTTAACGGTGTTTAGTGTCATTCTATCAGTGTTTAATGTCATTCTATCAGTATTTAGTGACAGTCTATCAGTATTTAGTGTCATTCTCTCAGAGTTTAGTGTCAGTCTATCAGTGTCTAGTGTCATTTTATCAGTGTTTCGTGTCATTCTACCAGTGTTAAGTGCCATTCTATCAGTGTTTAGATCAGTCTATCAGTGTTAAGTGACCGTCTATCAGTATTTAGTGACAGTCTATCAGTGTTTAGTGTCAGTCTATCAGTGTTTAGTGTCATTCTACCAGTATTTTAATGACAGTCTATCAGTATTTAGCGTTAGTCTATCTGTATTAAGTGACAGTCTATTAGTATTTAGTGTCAGTCTATCAGTATTAAGTGTCAGTCTATCAGTGTTTAGTGTCAGTCTATCAGTGTTTAGTGTCAGTCTATAAGTGACAGTCTATCAGTGTTAAGTGTCATTCTACCAGTATTTAGTTACAGTCTATCAATATTTAGTGTCAGTCTATCAGTGTTTAGTGACAGTCTATCAGTATTTAGTGTCAGTCTATCAGTATTTAGTGACCGTCTCTAAGTGTCAGTCTATCATTGTTAAATGTCAGTCTATCAGTGTTAAGTGCCAGTCTCTCAGTGTTAAGTGACAGTCTATCAGTGTTTAGTGACAGTCTATCAGTGTTTAGTGTCAGTCTGTCAGTATTTAGTGACCGTCTCTAAGTGTCAGTCTATCAGTGTTAAGTGTCAGTCTATCAGTGTTAAGTGCCAGTCTCTCAGTGTTAAGTGACAGTCTATCAGTGTTTAGTGACAGTCTATCAGTGTTTAGTGTCAGTCTATCAGTATTTAGTGACCGTCTCTAAGTGTCAGTCTCTCAGTGTTAAGTGCCAGTCTATCAGTGTTAAGTGCCAGTCTCTCAGTGTTAAGTGTCAGTCTTTCAGTATTTAGTGTCAGTCTATCAGTATTAAGTGACCGTCTATAAGTGTCAGTCTATCAGTGTTAAGTGTCAGTCTATCAGTGTTAAGTGTCAGTCTATCAGTGTTAAGTGACAGTCTATCAGTGTTAAGTGTCAGTCTATCAGTGTTAAGTGTCAGTCTATCAGTGTTAAGTGTCAGTCTATCAGTGTTAAGTGTCAGTCTATCAGTGTTAAGTGTCAGTCTATCAGTGTTAAGTGCCAGTCTATCAGTATTAAGTGTCAGTCTATCAGTGTTAAGTGTCAGTCTATCAGTATTAAGTGTCAGTCTATCAGTGTTAAGTGTCAGTCTATCAGTGTTAAGTGTCAGTCTATCAGTGTTAAGTGTCAGTCTATCAGTATTAAGTGACAGTCTATCAGTGTTTAGTGTCAGTCTATCTGTATTAAGTGACAGTCTATCAGTGTTTAGTGTCAGTCTATCAGTGTTTAGTGTCATTCTACCAGTATTTTAATGACAGTCTATCAGTATTTAGCGTTAGTCTATCTGTATTAAGTGACAGTCTATTAGTATTTAGTGTCAGTCTATCAGTATTAAGTGACAGTCTATCAGTGTTTAGTGTCAGTCTATCAGTGTTTAGTGTCAGTCTATAAGTGACAGTCTATCAGTGTTAAGTGTCATTCTACCAGTATTTAGTTACAGTCTATCAATATTTAGTGTCAGTCTATCAGTGTTTAGTGACAGTCTATCAGTATTTAGTGTCAGTCTATCAGTATTTAGTGACCGTCTCTAAGTGTCAGTCTATCAGTGTTAAGTGTCAGTCTATCAGTGTTAAGTGCCAGTCTCTCAGTGTTAAGTGACAGTCTATCAGTGTTTAGTGACAGTCTATCAGTGTTTAGTGTCAGTCTGTCAGTATTTAGTGACCGTCTCTAAGTGTCAGTCTATCAGTGTTAAGTGTCAGTCTATCAGTGTTAAGTGCCAGTCTCTCAGTGTTAAGTGACAGTCTATCAGTGTTTAGTGACAGTCTATCAGTGTTAAGTGTCAGTCTATCAGTATTTAGTGACCGTCTCTAAGTGATAGTCTCTCAGTGTTAAGTGCCAGTCTATCAGTGTTAAGTGTCAGTCTATCAGTATTAAGTGACCGTCTATAAGTGTCAGTCTATCAGTGTTAAGTGTCAGTCTATCAGTGTTAAGTGTCAGTCTATCAGTGTTAAGTGCCAGTCTCTCAGTGTTAAGTGTCAGTCTTTCAGTATTTAGTGTCAGTCTATCAGTATTAAGTGACCGTCTATAAGTGTCAGTATATCAGTGTTAAGTGTTAGTCTATCAGCGTTAAGTGTCAGTCTATCAGTGTTAAGTGTCAGTCTATCAGTGTTAAGTGTCAGTCTATCAGTGTTAAGTGTCAATCTATCAGTGTTAAGTGTCAGTCTATCAGTGTTAAGTGTCAGTCTATCAGTGTTAAGTGTCAGTCTATCAGTGTTAAGTGTCAGTCTATCAGTGTTTAGTGACAGTCTATCAGTATTAAATGACAGTCTATCAGTATTTAGTGACAGTCTATCAGTATTTAGTGACAGTCTATCAGTATTAAGTGTCAGTCTATCAGTATTTAGTGTCCGTCTATCAGTGTTTAGATCAGTCTATCAGTGTTTAGTGACAGTCTATCAGTATTTAGTGACAGTCTATCAGTATTAAGTGTCAGTCTATCAGTATTAAATGACAGTCTATCAGTATTAAATGACCGTCTATCAGTATTTAGTGTCATTCTATCAGTATTAAATGACAGTCTATCAGTATAAAGTGTCAGTCTATCAGTGTTTAGTGTCATTCTATCAGTATTTAGTGTCAGTCTATCAGTATTTAGTGTCATTCTATCAGTATTAAATGACAGCCTATCAGTATTAAATGACCGTCTATCAGTATTTAGTGTCATTCTATCAGTATTAAATGACAGTCTATCAGTATTAAGTGTCAGTCTATCAGTGTTTAGTGTCATTCTATCTGTATTTAGTGTCAGTTTATCAGTGTTTAGTGTCATTCTATCAGTATTTAGTGTCAGTCTATCAGTGTTTAGTGACAGTCTATCAGTATTAAGTGTCAGTCTATCAGTGTTTAGTGTCATTCTATCAGTATTTAGTGTCAGTCTATCAGTGTTTAGTGACAGTCTATCAGTATTTACTGTCAGTCTATCAGTATTTAGTGTCAGTCTATCAGTATTTAGTGTCAGTCTATCAGTATTTAGTGTCATTCTATCAGTATTAAATGACAGTCTATCAGTATTAAATGACCGTTTATCAGTATTTAGTGTCATTCTATCAGTATTAAATGACAGTCTATCAGTATTAAATGACCGTCTATCAGTATTTAGTGTCATTTTATCAGTATTAAATGACAGTCTATCAGTATTAAATGGCCGTCTATCAGTATTTAGTGTCATTCTATCAGTATTTAGTGTCAGTCTATCAGTATTTAGTGTCAGTCTATCAGTATTTAGTGACAGTCTATCAGTGTTTAGTGACAGTCTATCAGTATTTAGTGACAGTCTATCAGTATTAAGTGTCAGTCTATCAGTATTTAGTGTCAGTCTAACAGTGTTTAGTGACAGTCTATCAGTGTTTATGGTCAGTCTCAGTCTATCAGTATTAAATGACCGTCTATCAGTATTTAGTGACCGTCTATCAGTATTTAGTGTCAGTCTGTCAGTATTTAGTGTCAGTCTATCAGTGTTTAGTGTCAGTCTCAGTCTATCAGTGTTTAGTGACAGTCCTCGTAGTTTACAAATTCAGATCATCACAGTATTTGTTCGGCTCCGCCTCTGGTAACAGTATTTTCCTCGGGATGATATTTTTACTGTTTCCCACAAACCCATGTTTTTATTTATATAATATACAATATTGAAAATAACAGTTGTACATATGACAAAAGGAGGTATAAAATATGTATCAGTATCTTTGTTACATCATAATATATTTCCACTCTTTAAACTATTTTATTTATTTACAGTCTATATTGAGTTGTTAAACGTATCTTTAAATGCAGTGTATATGCTTTTTTTTGGAACTGAATCAAGTAGATTTTGACATTTGAATGGTTTATAAAAGCATCGGATGTTGTTAATTGTACTTGATTTACACTTTGATCTATTGCATCTACTGGGCGAGGTTATTGCTTATTCAATGTTTATATTTAAGACTTGAAATGTTATCGTAACTATGTCGTTTTAGTATGATTATATTACAACAAGTAATAGATAACTGTAAATAATATATTTAGTTATATAATTGTCATATGGTACATATAAACAACAAAACAATCCTAAAATAACACGGATTCCTGTGAACGTTTTAAAAAAGAAAAGAAACGAAAGGTCAGCTGAGAGCTATGACATATTTTAATCATGAAAACTTATATTCGAACAGTTTGATGAAAAATAATCTATTTTAAAGAGAGAATAATAACTTTGAAAAATGAGCCGCGTCACGACAAAACCAACATAATGGGTTTGCGACAAGCATGGATCCAGACCAGCCTGCGCATCCGCGCAGTCTGAATAGGATCTATGCTGTTCGCTATCAGTTTCTATACTTGTTATAGGGTCTGTAAGCGAACAGCATGGATCCTGATCAGACTGCGCGGATGCGCAGGCTGGTCTGGATCCATGCTGGTCGCAAACTCATTATGTTGGTTTTGTCGTGACACGGCTCAAATATATTAAACGTAACATATATTTCATATAACATTAATTTGTATACATGTACATACAATTTATTGTATATATAACATGTATATCTCTGGTAAAGCATAATACAAACGAAATTTTGTAATAGTTATAATAGTGGAGATATTATAAACATATATATAAATGGAATAGGAAGCAAAATGGAAAATTATCAATATGATAGGCATAGTTTCTTTCAAAGTTGACCAAGACGATTTGCAATACTATTTATTTACAAATTATGTTCAAAAGAACAAAATTTTAGATAACCAAAAAAATGGAAGTTATTACTTTGAGCTGACAAATGCATGGCATTTATAAATACCCTTTTCTTACAACTAAAAGTTGCACTCATATGGCAAAGCTAGAACTCCGCGAGTCGGATGTGTCGCCTTGTGAACAGTATATCTGTCACCAAGGCATTTTCTTCTTAAATATAGGTTATTTATAAACACCACTCTTACAATGTACATGTACCTTTAACTTGACATTTGAACTGATTGTAACAATGTCAAATCAGGATTAATAAAACTGTTATATTTGTTATTATCAAAAATAAAAATACCATGGAGAAGTTTTACACTGACAGATCAAATGGAGGACTCTGTGATGGATTCTTAAGCACTGCACTTCAGGCAATGAAAAAAGCTTTCATACCAAATTTGGAGTCAATCAAACTTATAGTGACAAAGTTATGCCCTGGACAAGCCTAAGTAGTAAGAAAATTAACAAATGGCAATAATTGAAATATCATGAAGTAGAGAGACTAGTATTTGTGCACTGCACTTTTTCTCAATAAGATCCATCATCCTATGAAGGTTCAAGTCAATAGCTTTTAAAGTTTAGGATAATTGGTCCGGACAAAAATAAAGTATTATAATTAACAAAGGGCAATAACTCTTAAATCATGAAGTATAGAGTACCGGTTCTTGCGCACTGCACTTCTTCTATATAAGATCTAACATACTATGAAGATTCAAGTCCATAGCTTTTATAGTTTAAGTGAAATGACCGGACAAAAATAACCGGACAAAAATAAAGTAAGAAAATTAACAAAGGGCAATTACTCACAAATCATGGAGTATAGGTTTTACGCACTGCACTACATCTCAAAGAGATCAATCAGCCTATGAAGTCTCATGTCCATTGCTTTTATAATTTAGGAGAAATGGCCCGGACAAAAATGAAAAATGAAAATAAACAAAGGGAAATAACTCAAAAAATAAGAAATGCAGAGTACCGGTTCTTGTACACTGCACTTCTTTTTTAATAAGATCTATAACCCTATGAAGTTTTAAGTCCATAGCTTTTATAGTTTAGAAGAAATGGCCTGGACAAAAATAAAGTATGAAAATTAACAAAGGGCAATAACTCAAAAATGAAGAACTGCAAAGTAAAGATTATTGTGCACTGCACTTCAGGTTATTAAAAGGAGCATGCATACCAAGTTTGGGGTCAATTCGACTGAGTGACTGAGTTATACTCCGTACAAGCCTAAGGGGACGACGACGTTGTCGCCGACGCCGCCGACAAAAGTAACCCCTATATGTCGCCTTTTTCAACGCACACAAAAAAGTTTGTTCGACTAAGGCCATATATTTTAATGCAACGAGTTAAGTCCCATGTCTCTAATGTACAGGAATGATTGTTCAGTTTGCTCTAGACATTACAGATAACATACGAAACAAAACTAATGAAAGAAAACATTTTACAGACACTAATGTATTTATTGTACCAAATATGAACAACATTAAAATACACATTGACTATATATAACATGTGCGTTTATAACTTAATCAGCAGAATAATTTATATATATATTATATGTATACAGTATACATGAAGTTAAATATATATGCATGTACATGTATATAAATGCCCCCATGAAAGCAGTTATAGCGTGTTCTGCACAAAGATAGTCAATGTTTCCTGACAGGGTGATGTATTTTGTCTTTTTAAAAATAACACTTTTGTTCAAAAGTGTTTCACCACATAATTATATATCCGTGTACAATTTGCATCATAAAAATTTAAAACATATGCACAATTAAGAGATCGTCGAATGACCCGAAAAGATGTTGCTAACGAACAATTAACACCAGTTAAGTATTCAGCGATATATGAGCCGTGTCATGACAAAACCAACATAATGGGTTTGCGACCAGCATGGAAACAGACCAGCCTGCGCATCTGCGCAGTCTGATCAGGATCCATGCTGTTCGCTTACAAACCCTATTACAAATAAAGAAACTGATAGCGAACAGCATGGATTCTGATCAGACTGCGCGGATGCGCAGGCTGGTCTGGATCCATGCTGGTCGCAAACCCATTATGTTGGTGTTGTCATGACACGGCTCATATATTAATTATACAGATTATAGGTATAACAAGGATAATTAACAAATCCAATAATTAACTTTTATAAACAGTATACCGTAAATTAAAGACTGTTCCAGCCATATATGCATGACCACGCCCATAGCGGTCACATTTGTATTCCAATTTAAACCATGTAAAACCTATCTGTGAAATTATATCGAAATCAATTAAACAGTATCAAGGTTTTTCACCTAACGGCCATGTCCTTCGTCCAATTAGATATTTTTAAACCATATAGGTAGAGGGTCAATTCTGTAAATTATGATCAAAAACTGACCAACTGACTTTTAAAGGCACATTAAAGCCGCGGAAATGACTGTATGTTTTCTTTCTACATTGTATAATGTTTTAAGATGTAAAATGCTTATAACCGTAAGAAAATAGCACTGAATGTTAGATATTTTGTGATAAGAATTTTAGCAAAATTCAAACAAAACGGTATCTTGACTTCTCTACAAATTACTTAATCATTATAATTGTACTTACTGCCAAATTAAGGAAGACGCAAAAGAAGGCTCAAATTAATTTTCGATCACGTGACACTGTGAAAATGGTTACATTGTAAGTGACTCGTATTTAATTTTACTCGTGTTTCTTCTACAAAGAGATCATTTTGCTTGGACTGACAGAAAATGACCATCTAGTGTTTTTTTTTATTGCACTCAACGACAAAATAAAGGTAATAAATGGGGATAATTTCAATAATATCATACCGTACGAGAGATTCTCAGTATAAACGTCTTATAATAGCACTCATTTACTTTTGAATAATATTTGTACAATAATTGAAAAACAACAACATTAAAACTAAAATCATTTGCCTACATCCAGGTTTTTGTTTTTCAGCAATGAGATTTCCCTGCTCCTTTACGTATTGGCTTAAGTCATACACTTCCAATATAAAAGTATAAATATATCAATTTCATCTATTTACAGGTAATCATAATACGTATACGAAGGTGCAAAGTTCTTCTCTCCAGCAGCATATTGTTCATCTGCGTCCATTGTGTCTACCCTTCCTAGAACACATTCTTTATAGGTCGGCGGAGCTGTAATTATACGCAAATATGTTGATAAGACTTCTAACAAAAGAATAGATGATAAGTTGTAGAGTTTGATAGGGTTTTACGTCACATCGACACAGTATAGGTCATATCGCGACGTTCCAGCTTTACTGGTGGAGGTAGACCTTAGGTGCCCTCCCGTGCATTATTTCAGGCACAAACGGGCACCTGAGTAGAACCACCGACGTTCCGTAAGCTAGCTGGATAGCTTCCTCGCATGAAAGAATCCAAAGTCCCTGTCGGGATTCGAACCCACAGCGGTGAAGGGCAAGTGGTTTGAAGTCAACGACCTTAACCACTCGGCCACGGACGCCCCAAGTTGTAGAGTAAAGCATATGTCATCGATATACAAACAAGAGCTACCGTCGACCAGAGAAAGAATATTTTTGTGAAACGGTTTCAAATAATAACATCGAAAGTGTTTCTTATCGTATTTTACATGTTTCCGTGTGTTGATCTATGTAAAGACGTCAGTAGAGGCCCTCTGATATGAAAAATGCAAAGCCTCGAAGCGAGCTCATATACACAATTAACTCCAAACATTTCACTGTATATGCATTCATTGATCAAGTCAAAGAAGCTCTTTGTGGAACATGAACTGATTAAGTAAGAATCCCATTTCGGACGCGAAATGTGAACATACCGAAAAAGATAATATCACCGCATCTATTTCTGTTGATGTTATATTGTATGAATAAGTTGCATACAGCTCTGTATATTTGAATGATGATACTTCATCAAAAAATCAGGAACTCGCTAACAGTTCGATTCTGTAAAAAGCGTGCCCGCTCGTAAAATTCATGTAATATATTAATATATTTAGATCCCCAAAATGAAGAGCTAGCAAACGCAGTTCCCACCACTCCAAACTTTTCAAAACCATCATACTCTGAAGATTCGTGCGTTATCGTAATGCTAGCATCGCGAGCTGGCTTTCAGGCCTGCTCGCTTCATCTGGCTACATGCCCCGTAATTTTGGTGATAAATTAAGTTACTGTAGCAAATGCAACCTCAGGTTAAGACGAATTTCTGACACCGGGTCATCATACTTTTTAATCCTAGTAATATTCCACAGCACATTACAAACAGCGCACGCAGTTTTTTTTTTTAAATCGATAAACTCCAAAGAGAACCTTCATTTAGAAAACAGGCAGTCTGTTGTAGAAAATAAAGATTAAGAATGAGGACTGGTAAATAAATTCTTACGTAAGTCAGCGTTTATAGACGGAGAGAATCCTGATGCACCAGACGCCTGAGGTTGTTCTGTAACAGTTCCTGGCTGACTTTGCGGCAAGTACTGTTGAACCACAGAGTGTAACGGTATGGTTCCTATTACTACAGATACAGGAAGGTGAAGGTCGAACGGAGTGTCGGCAACATCAACCACTAGCTGCAATAAAAAGGGTTATACAATTTTAATACCTGTTTGAAAGTCATTCAAACAAACACATAAAATTGACAAACATTAAAGTACCAAAACAAATTACACATCTCATTTAAGTTCTGACCCTATAGCTAAGAAGGAAATTAAAAATGCGGCTGAGGAAACTGAAATAGTCAACGATGGAGAGTTTCAGTTTTTCAGACAGTGCGTATTTTCTTTCATGTTTTTTTTTCACCTAAAAATCTATGAAACTCGGTATATGCTCATTTGGTAGTAAATTGCTAATTCAATAGACTTTGGTAGCACATTAAACTCTAACAATGAAACAGAAATTGTCTTATTTTTCCTTGACCAATTCCTTAGACAATATTGCCAGTAATTACCATCTCTAATGCAATCTTCACATCATTCAGTCAGTTAATCTGGATCTTTCTACATATATATAGAGCTTTTCCCAAAGGGTAAACCGTTTTCAGTTGTAGGACAAAGTTACAGAAATAGCCTTATCATAGCCTTATCATGAATGAGGATTTTCTGCTATATATATACATGATATAGTGGCATTATTCTTATAATATTATCCTAAAACTGCAAAATGTTGGGATGTTAAGCGAAATCAAAGAGGTCTATCTATGAGTTGAACGATAAAACCTGAAAGAAAATCAGTTACCTCAATAACATAATGGATCTCAATAATGTTACAATTTGGTAAAAATGATGGCGGACAAGGGGGAACTCGAAGCTTCTCTCGCCTCCAGACATCTGTTCCTCCTGGGGTTACAGTCCCATGATGTAAACGCCCTATTTCTCTCTTGATTTCTCTCCTAGCCCCATGAGGAGTTTGATAAACCGTCAGCTAAATTTAAGTAAATGAAAACTGGGACTAAAAATGTGTATGTCTCTGTCCCAGATGAAAGTACATGTATGCGACAATGAACAATCTCTCAAAATAAACAGTTTTAAAATTAATAATTATTTCTATAACAATGTCATAATAATTGTGTAACAGACATGAAATGGCTGCCGATAACTAGTGTGCAGTCTCGAAATATACGCATGTGTAATTCATTTGAATAATGGAATGCTCTTCATTATTTATAATACCAGACAATGTCGGAACGTTTAGCAAGAAAACATAATTGTACTCGATTTACATACAGACAATTTATGATAAGGCCAATGCGCGTTATGATGTAATATCGAACCACAAGTCAAAGCTCTCCATGCAGGGAACTATTTTATGACCGACATTGATCTGATCATAGAAAGCCATCATTAACCTCAGTTAACGAATGGTGGTACGTTTCACGAACTGCTCCTTAAGAGTGCTATAAGGATAAACATGTTCCCTCCCATTCTAATTGTTTGTTTGGTTGTTTGTTTGTTTGATTGGGTTTTAGGTCACGCCGACGCAGTAAAGATCATATTGTGATGTTCCAGCTTTAATGGTGCAGGAAGACCCCAGGTGCCCCACCGACGTTCCGTAAACTAGCTGGATAGCTTCCTCACATGAAAGAATCCTAAGTCCCTATCGGATTCGAACCCACAGCGATTCGAACCCACAGCGGTGAGGGACAAGTGGTTTGAAGTCAATGGCCATAACCAATCGGCCCGACTTATTCAAAAGAAAATGAAAATTATATAATAAAAGAAAAACATCAAATGAAATATACAAATTATACATACCATAACTAATTTGACAATTGATGAATTTATTCCGCGTCCCGTTCCATCCTGTATTTCCGCATCAAATACAATACATTCCCCAGGAACGTATCCGATTTTATCTATGCGAAAATTTGCAGACACAGGATCGCTTTCACAACACATACAACACACAGTCTTTGCGTCATTTGTTTGGGCTGGTGTCTACATTTAATTTAAATTGAATGTTTAGTATTTATTTTACATTATTACATTCAGATTCATCTGTCAATTATCTAAGAATTAACAGTTTAATTAAGTGCTGATAATTCAAGAACAAACACAAGTTAGACGTTTTTTTAGGTTGGGTTTTGAGTCCAATGCTATATCATAGTATACGGCGACTTTGTTACGTGGCGATATGTTTCCTGCCATGGTTTCATTACGAGACACATTTTATGTATCAACCCGTATTGGATTTCATTTCATACATTTAAGTAATTTATTAGGGCACGTATCACGGTATTAGCAAAAAAAAGGTATTTATTGGAAGCTATTCTTTTCAACTAATTACCTGTTCAATAAAAAATAAGTTCAGAAGACTTCAACCGCTTAAACTAAAACATTTTTCCGGTATTGATGTAGATCTATTTGAAATTTCAGTTAGCTCTTTATTGCTTGAAATTTAGAATCATCTATCAGACTGATAGTCAAGCCATATGAGAAAAGTTAATGCGGATTCCGAGCTAAAACTTTTTTTTATGGTTATCCATCAACATTTAAATTTCAAATTACTGTGCTGAGTATAATTAAGAATTTTAAAAAAGAACGGTCATACTTACACCGGCATTTACTACAGTGTTTAAGTCAAGCACCGAAGCAACCGTAAACAACATTTTATAATGTTTATCAAACTTCCATGGTCTGTCAATTGTTGCTTTAAGAAAGTATCGAACATAACAGTTTTCTAATCCCTCGAAAGATCCTGGTGCATTAACCGGAAGTAAGATCTGAAATGGAAACGCATGGTTGCCAGCGTTCAATTTAACATTGCCGCCAACTCCTTGATCTGAAAGGAAAATTTGGAGATATGAAAAATCAAGTGTAAAAAACGCTTCATATTAACGAAACTTCTTTACTTCTACATCAACTATACATGTTCCAGACTATAGAAAAACATGAGTAACGGTAAATGCTACACTTCAGGAATTATTTTATCCTTGATAGAAAAAACAGAACAGAACAGAACTTTATTTTCTAGACTTATACACACGAACATTGTCTTGTAAACATGCAATGAATACATAATATATACAACATAATAATAGAAAAACAATGTAGGGAAACGTCATGACACAGGTCACTGTTTCAAGATAGAATTAAAATGTTCATCGCCTCAGCTTTGACAATTGTTGTCATATTACTTGTATTGCTGCAGATAAATGTTTTTAAACATAATGAAAGTGAACGTACCATTGCCAAATAATTTTAAAACAACATTCAGGTAGTCCTCCGTCGCAACAACATGGTGTTTCCCGGCCTTCCACATTACTTGCCCTTTCCCTTGACAGTCTAAATATAACCCTGCAACATTTATAAATATCATCAGAACTTCATGTATACAAAACATGCTGACTTATTGTTAGTTGGGAGCAAAAAAAACCAAAAGATTTCCGCTGTAGGATATCGCTAAACATACAACATAATAATTTTATTGATTAAGTAGAGGCGGTGCAAAATCAAACCTACATTTCCTTTGATTGGGGTAACTTCCGGCTACCATGATTGCGCTAAATTTGTTTAGGAAAGTAACCTATATATCGTATTTTCATTCAGTGAAATTGCTTGACAGTTGTTAAGAATCATTATGTTTTTGCTTCATACACTTGTCCCGGGCTTTTAAAGTTCCGTCTTCTACCGTTTCAATATAATCTTTTATCACGCTATACTATAGTCAAAATATATTGACGTGCCAAAGCTTGATTCTGAGATATTTTCGTTCTGGGGCAGAATCTCGCTTTAAAGAGGCGAGATATTGCCCAGACACGAAAATAGCACAATATCTCGTCGCGCAGTACAATTAGTTGGACTAGCTATACTACAAGTGTGATAATTGTGTGAACACCGACTTCACAAAAATTTTGCTTAACAAAATGGAAATCTAAATTGATCAGAATGATAACTATGTTCACGATGATGATGATGATGATGATGATGATTATGATGATGATGATGATGATAATGATGCCGATACAATATCATCATCATCAACAAAAACATTGGTAATAATGATGATGATTTTGATGATGCTGATGGTGGTGGTGATGGTGGTGGTGATGATGATGATGATCATGATGATAAAAAATCCAGCGTCAGCATTTTATTTGACACAGGAGATTCAGTCAGAACACCTTGCCGATTAACAATAATCATCCCGTAAAATAGTAACTCTAAATAATGAGTAATAAATGTATTTATGCCAAAATAAATGTTGGCAAAAAAAATAGTCATGTCAAAATGTTTCGGAAAAAATAGAGATGGAAAAGTAGTCTATTTTGGTAACATTTTGACTGAAAAAAAAATTGGCAATTAGAATCAAATGCAAAATTGCATAAAATCAGAACAAAATCTGGAAACATGTATACTTTTTCGGTTTCTAAAATATATCAATTAGGAAGAAGATAATTTACTTTTTACTTTTCTTTTTTCTTTTTAGAATTTCCTTTATATTCATGTATAAGTTGACTTTTAACACAATAAAATGTCAAAAACATTTAAAGAATTTTATGGCTTCGATTAGACCGAAATACCGTACCTGTTCTGTAAATCCATTCTATTGTAAAACATAATAATAACAATAACAATAATAATAATAATAATAATAATAATAATAATAATAATAATAATAATAATAATGATGATGATGATGATGATGATGAATATTATTATTATGATGCCATTTTTTTTAACGACACTGTATAATCTTATTGTGACTTAGCTTAAGGTCTTCAGCGTACCCGTTTATATACTATGACATGACGTGAATGCCGCATCAGATGAAAAACAAAAATGTTAAAAAGCGGCTTATAAAGTTTTGGAAGCCAGAACTAATTGTGACTAACTATTGTGTGTAGAATTTTAAACATAACATAAATACTTGCGTTAAGTCAAAACATGTGATTTTATATGTACAAAGGGACTGTGTAGCAATTAACAATATTTTCATATATCAAATTTGAGCATAGTATATGGTTAATGTAGAGACAGAGGACCCTGAAATTCTATCCAAAACAAAAAAATCACAATTAAAAAAAATCCCATATGTTTTTATAGTATATATCGATCTATATGGGATTTTTTTTATAAATTGTTATTTTTTTTGGTTTGGATAGAATTTCAGGGCCTTGTGGTAGAGGAATATGATAGCAAAATGCCTGTGCCTGTATTTGCTGTTGGGAAGAATTTAATAGGACCAATACTTCATGTACATTATAGGGCCAATCTCATTAAAATCATATCTAACCGACATTCCACGCCACTACATTCCGCTTAGTATAACGCGCTTCACGATATCAAACAGTTCCCCTTTAAGTTAACAGTAGGCTTAAAAGTAGGGCAACTTATTAACGTTTAAAGCTAACCTCTCATTTCCATTTCCTCTTCTAATTCTACGATAAGGTGTCCTTGAACACATTGTCCTGGAAAATATACCACTTGATGATTACTTAACGCAATCTCAAACTTTCTTAATCTAGTCATGTTCGATAATTATTAATCCTCTACACTTTTTTCTGCATCCAAACATATTTATGATTAAAGGGGAAGTAATGTGTATTGTAGCCAAGATTGCCTATTGAGTATTGTACAAGAACAAGTAAATTCATTACAAGAGTAGGATAAATCTTCCCTCAGTAAAAATAGTCAAAGTCCGTGAAAACCATCCGACGACGAGGCTAATTCAGCAGTGAAAAAGATTCAAAGAAAATAGTTTATTACTTTTAATACCTTAAAATATAATTCATATAGACATTATGCTTTGATCTGTACATGTGTGAGCATGTAAAATGAATTTAACGTAATTTTCTTACACTAATACTTTTGTTTCCGTATGTGAATTAATCATTATTATCAACCGTCGAAAAGCTGACGGGTGCTGTAAAAGTCTCAGTCTGTCCGTTCGTCCGTCCGTGTTTTCTTCATTTCGTCTGGCATATTTTTGTTCGCAACATAATTAGTAAAGTATTTGAGATACCAACTTAACACTTCTTTGGTTGATGGAAGAGTGCAGTCTTCAAGAGTAATAAACTACCTTTCATAACTTTGAGTTATTGCCCTTTGCTATTTTTCATGCCCTTTTTTTGTGTCCCACAGTTTAATCATGTGCATAACTCAAAAAGTATTTAAGATATCATTTTAAAATTGCATTGGTTGATAGCTTTCATTGAGGAGGAATTGGATGCTTACGAATCTATCATGAAATAGTTTTTGAGTTACTGCCCTTTGTTATTTTCTTGCTTAAATTTTATCATAACTCAAAAAGGGGGTTCGAGATATCAATTGAACACTTCAAAACTTGAAAGATATCAGAAATATCTCATTAAGACACCATGGTGCATACAAATTTAATGATAACTCTAGTACTACACTTCATAGTGATTGTCCCTAGTTATTTTACATGCCTTAATTATAGTTTTGTTTAAACGGTACTCAAGAAGTGTTTATAATGATATCAACTTGAAACATTATGAAAGATCTCATTGAGCTTCAAGTGCATAAGTATAATAACTTTGCCTCCATACATCATCAGTTATTGCCCTTTGTATTTTTCCTGTATAATTTTGTCAGGTCCACAACTCATAATGAATTTGAAATATCAACTTGAAAATAATAGAAAAAAATCTGACGTGTTTAACCTCTTATACGCATATCTTTATACATATAATTAGTAATTGCCCTTTGCTACATATATATGTACTTTTCATGCGTAATTTTGGTCCGAGCAATATCTCCAAAATGTCCCTTGCTTACTTTATTTGTAGTTGAAATGCACAGCGCAATCTTATGATAACTCTATATTTTCTTAATTTTGGAGTCTTTCGTTATTATTCATGCTCATTTTTCAGGTCCGTGATATTATTATAGCTTCGACTCTCTGCTCTATTACTTTGCAGTTAAATATTGTCATGTTAAACATTACCAATAAGTTCCGCAGGACATTTAATTAATAGATCTATGCGATTTCTTGAGTTACGTGGTTTAAAGCACACGTAAATAAAAAATATTGTGTAATTATTTTGACTTTCACCTGAGTGTACAACCATGCTGTTATTAAATTGATTACTATAATTCTTTTCCATATAAGTTTGATATCCTTTGTCTTTTGCAATTTTGATACACCACACTTTCAGTTAGCTTCTTCATTCATTCATTCATTCATTCTTTCTTTGCGTGTTGGGGCGGGGAGGCAGGGGGTGGGTCGGTAGGGAGTAAGTCATTTTTTATGTACAAATCTGCTATTAATATTGGTTAACAATTCAATTTCAGTATAAGATAAAATAGCTAGTGGCATTGATTTGACCTAAAATGTGTTTAACCTTGTTATTTATGCACTAAAACATCAATATATTAGAAGAAGAAAAAATGATTTTTTTTCACTGTTATATTATTATAGACTATAACCAGGTACGTATATTAACGTTAATATACGTACCTGCTATAACACGGATTTATATTGTAATGTAAATCCGTGACTATAATAATATAAAAGTGAATTTTTTTTTTTAATATATTGATGTTTTAGTGCATAAATAACAAGGTTAAACACATTTTAGGTCAAATCAATGCCACTAGCACCTTTGCTTGTATTAAGTACAGCGTTGATATAGCAATATGTTGGCCAGGAACAAACATATAGATCTCAAAATCTAGCTTTGGCACCTCAAAATACCAAATGTATTTTGACTAACCATTGATACCACTTGCCCCCTCAACTGCCCCAGATTTTAATTGTTTTTTTTATATCTTTTTTTATTATTATTATTCCTTTTCTCCTCTTTGAAAAGAACACTTTTTGCGATTTTTGACGCGTTTTGACAGATAGGTATATGTTTGCCATTCATATAATATTCAGGGCCGTATATTAAGTGCAAAATCCGCAAGTCAATTCGGAGAGGCATTCAACATGGCGACGTACCGTCAAGATATGCCTCCTCCGGGAGGTTACAAAGATATTGAATGGGCAAGAGTTACAAGAAAGCCAGTTAGTGGTACGGAAGATATAGTAAAAAATATTATGAATGTTTAAGAATTTACTTTGTTTATTTTATATGATAGCATAATGAGAAAATAGATAAAAGTTCCGTGACCTTGTGTTTCTAAACACTTCGGACCCAAAACGTTTCGGGCCATTTTTTTTAGCAATTGAGAGACATGTTTAGCATATATGTAAACCTTTCACAGCTTCATAAAAGGGTATCAGAGTTTGTAAGAATCATTCCAAAATAAGACTTGTGGGTCGATATCATTATGCACAGGCTGGTGAAAATGTCCAATCTGGCTTATGACATAAAAAATAACATTTCTAAAAAAATAATAAATTTTTTTCTTTTAAACTTTGTTTGTTTATTGAGAATAATATTTGACTTTAAATAGAAAGAAAAATAATTGGCTACTGTCACTTTAGTGAGAATTTTTTCCCCTTTTTCAAGTTTTTATAAAACATAATTTTTGAAGTCCTTAAAAATATGTTACATATGCAAAATGTAAAACAAAATAAGTTAAATAACTTCTTTATGCTCTTATTCATTGTGCCAACACCTGACAGCATACATTTCATTCGGTTTTCAGAGAAAACTTCAAAGTACAGGGCTCAAACTGGCTCAAATAAAATAATAGCCAATATTTTTAACTTAAAAAAATAATAGCCAAATTGTCTGTGGACTATTCACGATTAAGCGGTTTATAACAACATAAGCAGTTGATTAAATAAAACAATACATATAAAACTTTTTCAGTTTTATAAGGATTCTCAAATAAACTGATACATTTGTGTATATTGATAACTACCTTTTTTACATAGAACCACAACTTTAATTGTTATTATAGAACAGAATAATAATGTTATATAGTATAATTACTGTATAACAATAATATTAAAGATTCATTACAACTTTACATAATGCTCTTATCAGACAATTTCTTTTGTTTGTTCTTATCAAATTTTGTCAGCTATAACCACTGTCAATTTCCACATTTCACACAGAACTGGAGTAGATCTAGGTCATATTAGCCTATAGAAATAACACTTGCAAACTCATTCACAGAATGCAGCGATTTTCTGAATAACTTACTGAAAAATGTCATTATAACCAATGTAATACAAATTTTCTGCCATAATAGTAAAGATTTTCAAACAGAACATAGCTTATTTTCACCTTTAAATAAATATCAAAATTATCGGTGTCACGAAAATATGTGACAATCGGATTTTTTCCTGTTTTCTGAAGAAATATTTACAATTTTGGTTGTTGGGCAAATAGTTGTTTGGAAATTAATACTTTTTAAATATTTTATCATTGTTTTCTACTGGCGATTTAATCTAGATGATTTAATCAAGCAGCTTAAAACAAAAAAAATCAAAATTTGCAATTTACGGTAAATTTTTGGTTGGTCAATATCCAATTTATCAATTTTAAGACGATTTTTGTGGCTAATTGACGGATATTTGATGGCTATTATAATGCTGGAAATATCTTTAAAGTACTTATACAATTTTACATCTCACATGTACTTTTATCACCTCTGGCAATATAGTAAGCAGCACATGACCGATAAAAAGTTGACACTCTGAATTAAGTGTTAATTGGGTCTACTGCATTCTTTATCGATTTTTACACCTTAAATAAACACTGTTGGAAGTAAAAAATAATCGCCAGATTTTGTAGCCAAAATGCAAAAATAATCGCATATCTTATACAGACTTCCCAAAAGTTAAACAAAAGTGTCAGACATTCAGTCTGACAAACCATGAAAATCTGTCGGACGGAAAAGAAATCTGTCAGACTAAATAAAATTAATCAAAATCAAAAAAGGAAAACCTGTGTTTGTATTTCAGTCACTTTTCGGTTTTATTTTTTTTTGGCCTTAAAAATAGGCACAGTCCGTACAGCGCATTTTCATCTCCTCCCTATCATACACCAACGATTCACGGTTCTGCTTCCATTTTTCATTAAATTTTGTCTCAGGTCTCTTCTTTTCACCCTTTTACTGCTGTTCTATGCGCTCCTTTGACGTAGATTTTCTTTTTTTCCCACGTTTGGCACCTTTAGCGACGCCATTTACAAGTGTACATGCGACTTGGATAAAAGCCAGACAGTCGGACCCATCCAGAATAAAAAATCGTCGGACCTAATCAAAATTTATCGGACATGCTCGTCGGACCGACGTATTTCGGGAAGTCTGCTTATAAAATAATCGCAAATGGCCACTATGGCGACTGACAATGGAGCCCTGAAGTATGATATTCAGTGTCAAAGAATTGTCAAAATATAAATGCCAGAAACAAATCAAAATATATACAATAAAGGTACTGGCGCAATAATCTAGAGCAAAATGAAATCGATAAGCACATTCTATTAAGAATTTAACATTACAACATAATTGTTATGAACTTCAAATATTTTGTTTCCCAAAAATGGAAAAAAGGGAAATAATTCTAAGAAAATAAAAGATAACCAAAATATTTTTATTTGTATCATAATTATAAAGGCCTAAAAAACAAAAAAGTTGGAAAGAAACATATTAATTATTTTTCTATAAATATAGTATTTTATGTCATAAGCCTGATAGGGCATTTCACCAGCCCGATGCATTTGACATGTATTTTTATTAGATTCTGTATCAAAACATTAGCAGGTCTAGGATTTCATGATATTTACGGACAGTCTGTAAATTTTTGGACGATCCATAACTTTACAGATTTTTGCATCTGTAAATTTACAAACATTAAGTAAGAAATCAGTAGAAGTTGCTTTAAAATTCAAAACCGCAGGTTAAAATTAATAAGGTTACTTACTATATGATCAAATGTAACAGTATGGTAAGATTCAGAACAATTTGATGACTTTCAATTTTCACTTTCATCAAATATTTCAAAATCATCATACAAAGATGAAACTCATCCCATTACCTTTGTAAATATAAACAATCAATAAAACAACAAGTCAGAAGCTGCGGATTTTAGTGTAAAACTAAAAACAGCAAATTTCACATTGAATATCTGTAAATTTATGGATTGAAAAATCTTTAAATTTCTAGACTATCCATAAATTTATGGACAGTCCATAAATATCATGAAATCCTAGACCTGATTAGTCAATTTTGTTTTTTAATTTTTATCTCAACTATTTTATTTATATAATAGGAAGAATTATCCTGAGTGTACATGTCTGTGTCATACTTAAAGATTAAAGTTTTTGTGCCACTCCATTTCTTTTTCTTTGAGATATTGCTTTGAAACTTTTTAAAATAAAAATGACAATCATTCCAACTAAGAGGATGTACGTCTGTCATGGTTATATAATAGAGAAAGCTATCCTACTCTCCAGGGTGTCTGTGTCACACTTTGGTTAAGTTTTTCGTTCTCACATATTTCCTATACTGGCTATAGGTAACCTTTTTGGTATTGCTTTGAAACTTTATATACCCATTAGTGACTATCATCCCCATTTCTAGGCAAGAAGACAAAATGATGCCCCTTTTACAAATTATAATTTCAGTTAATAATTATTAGGTTTTTTTGTACCACCCTAGTCCTAGTTCTACAGTAGAAGCGAGATTCTGACCCAGAACGAAAATATCTGAGTATCTAGCTTTGGCATGTCATTATATTTTGACAAGTACCACCCCATTTATTTACTATACCTCTGAGGACTGCTAGTCAGTGACCATCATCAACCACTTCCAGGCAAGTACTGTACTTCAATTTAAGCATGCTTTCTTACACTTAGGAAAGTTTTGAGTGAATAAATGGTTTTTAGCTCACCTGTCACAAAGTGACAGGGTGAGCTTTTGTGATCGCTTTTCGTCCGGCGTCCGGCCGTCCGTAAACTTTTACTTTAAATGACATCTCCTCATATACCACCAAGCCAATTTCATCCAAACTTCACAGGAATGTTCCGTTGTTGGTCACCTTTAAAAACTGTTCAAAGAATTTAATTCCATGCAGAACTCTGGTTGCCATGGCAACCGAAAGAAAAAACTTTAAATATCTTCTTTTAAAAAACCCTAAGAGCTAGAGCTTAGATATTTGGCATGAAACATGTTCTAATGGGTGTCTACCAAGTTTGTTCAAATAAAAGCCCTGGGGTCAAAATTGGCCCCGCCCCAGGGGGTCTTTGATTTTCCCTATCTGCATATATTAAAAACTTAAAAAATCTTCTTTTAAAGAACTCAAAGAGCTAGAGCTAAGATCTTTAGCATGAAACATCTTCTAATGAGTGTCTACCAAATTTGTTCAAATAAAAGCCCTGGGGTCAAAATTGGCCCCGTCCCGGGGGTCATTGATTTTCCTTATATGTATATAGCAAAAACTTAAAAAATCTTCTTTGAAAAGACCCAAATAGCTGGAGTTTAGATATTAAGCATGAAACATATTCTAGTGAGTGTCTACAAAGTTTGTTGAAATAAAAGCCCTGGAGTCAAAATTGGCCCCGCCCCGGGTGTTATTGATTTTCCTTATATGTGTATAGCAAAAACTTAAAAATCTTCTTTGAAAAAACCCAAATAGCTAGAGTTTAGATATTAAGCATGAAACATCTTCTAGTAAGTGTCTACAAAGTTTGTTTAAATAGAAGCACTGGGGTCAAAACTGGCCCCGCCCCAGGGGTGTCATTGGTTTTAACTATATGTGTATAGTAAAAACTTAAAAAATGTTCTTTTAAAAAAACCCAATGAGCTAGAGCTTAGATGTTTAGCATGAAACATCTTCTTATGGGTGTCTACCAAGTTTGTTCAAATAAAAGCCCTTGGGTTAAAATTGGCCCTGCCAGGGGGCGGGGAGGAGGGGTAGATCATTGTTTTTCATTATGTGTGTAGTAAAAACTTAACATCGTGAAACATCTTCTAATGGGTGTCTTCCAAGTTTGTTCAAATAAAAGCCCTGTTGTTTAAACTGGCCCCGCTGCGGGTGCCTTTATACAGGTGAGCGACTTCAGGGCCATCATATCCCTCTTGTTTGTATTATTAGTCAGTGTTATAATATTATTAATGTATTTGTAATTTATTCATTTTGCAGGATATAAGATACTGGGAGGTTTACTTGCAATGAAAGCTGTTGGCGTGACATGGTGGTACTTTGTAAGAAAGAGGAAAAGGTAATTGCATCCTTTACTTTAATTATAAGAAAGTTTTTGTGACTGTTGTAGTAAAATTTTAGGTCTCTAAATGAATTGACCCCCATGGTCCTTACAGGGTTTCTTCAATCTTGAGATTTACTTAAGTTGTTTCTTGCATGATGAGATCTGATTGTCTTCACTGTGATTTGGATTTCTTGAGAATGCAATTTTTACCCATGCAATCAAACCATCCTTTACAGGTATGTATTAGATGAAGCATCAAAATATTGCTGTCTGTGGAAATAAACAAATTGTTGATAGCTAAGATATTTAGCATATGTAGCATAATAGCATTGCCTTTAATATTGACCTTTACAAAACTGATGTGAATCATGCCCCTCCGGTCAAAATCAGCTCTGCCCCAGAGTCACTTGCTTTATGTAGACTTAGGAATAGGAAAACACATCTAATCTTTTTGTGGATACTTACTATGTCTTAATATTTAGGCCTCTCTAAAAGTTTATGAATCGTGCATCTTGGGTAAAAAACGACTTTGAACACCTTGAAGGACATTTAGTATCATAAGGATAATTAAGATAAAACATTTTTCAGACAAGTTTCTTGATTGAGTCTGTTCCCTGATTGAAAGATTTATTTTTGGTTACACAAACAAATTAACATTTGGGTATATGTATTGTATTGAGAGCTGCAGCTATGAATGTTACTGTGAGCACTATTTCAGATGCAGATTTATATCAGTTGGCCTATATTTTTATCTAATACCTTCTTTTCATTCTTAGTTCTCAATATTTATTCTCTTGTCATTTAGAGCCTTTATAGCTTGGTGAGTTATATAAGTGTGCTCAAGCTCTTGTAAATGAGCTTGAGCACACTTTTTATACGCCCGTTTGAAAAACGGGACGTCTTATGGGAACGCCCCTGGCGGGCGGGCGCGCGGCGTCCAATTTTGTCCGGAGCATATCTCCTACATGTATGGAGGGATTTCAATGAAACTTCATAGAAATGTTCACCACTATGAGGAGCAGTGTCGCGCACATGAACCAGGTCTCTAGGTCAAAGGTCAAGGTCACACTTAGAGCTCATTGAAAAATGCTTGTCCGGAGCAAAACTTCCACATGTATAGAGGGATTTCAATATTACTTGGCACAAATGTTCACCATTGTGAGGCGGAGTGTCGCGCGCAAGATTCAGGTCCTTGCGGCCAAGGTCAAGGTCACACATAGAGGTCAAAGTTCAGATAAAAATATGAAGATGTGTATATGGACCATTTAGTCATCATTTATTGAGGGATTGTAACACAAATGGTTATTATCAAGACTATGGCTGTGATACATATAATTTAGGTCAATATATACAAGGTCAAGGTCACTTAAGATGATGAAATATCCAGATTTTGTCCGGAGCATATCTCCTACACGCATGGAGGGATTTTAATGAAATTTCATAGAAATGTTCACCATTATGAGAAGCCATGTCACGCACATGAACTAGGTCTCTAGGTCAAAGGTCAAGGTCACACTTAGAGCTCATTGAAAAACGCTTGTCCGGAGCAAAACTTCCACATGCATAGAGGGATTTCATTATAACTTGGCACAAATGTTCACCACTGTGAGGCGGAGTGTCGCGCACAAAATTCAGGTCCCTGCAGCAAAGGTCAAGGTCACACATAGAGGTCAAAGTTCAGATAAAAATATGAAGATGTGTATACGATTTAATCATCATTTATTGAGGGATTGTAACACAAATGGTTATTATCATGACTACGGCTGTGACACATGTACTTTAGGTCAATATATGCAAGGTCAAGGTCACTAAAGATGGTGAAATATCCAGATTTTGTCTGGAGCATATCTCCTACATGTATGGAAGAATTTTTATAATACTTTATGGAAATGTTCACCACCATGATATGTATCGCTCCATGCATGATCCAGGTCTCCAGGTCAAAGGTCAAGGTCACACTTAGAGCTCATTGAAAAACGCTTGTCTGGAGCAAAACTTCTACATTCATAGGGGGATTTCAATATAACTGGGCACAAATGTTCACCGTTGTGAGGCCGAGTGTCGCACGCAAAATTCAGATCCCTCCGACCAAAGTCAAGGTTACACATAGAGGTCAAAGTTCAGATAAAAATTTGAAGATGTGTATAGGGACCATTTAGTCATCATTTATTGATGGATTGTAGCACAAATGGTAACTATCATGACAACAGGTGTGACACATTTAATTTAGGTTAATATTTGCAAGGTCAAGGTCACTGGAGATGATTAAATATCCAGATGTTGTCCGGAGCATATTTTCTACATGCATGGAGGAATTCTAATGTTACTTTATAGAATTGTTCACCACCATGAGACGTAATGCCCTGCACATGAACCAAGTCTCTAGGTCAAAGGTGAAGGTCACAGTTAGAGCTCATAGAAAAACGCTTGTCTGGAGCAAAACTTCTACATGCATAGAGGGATTTCAATATAATTTGGCACAAATGTTCATCATTGTGAGGCTGAGTCCCATGCATAAAATTCAGTTCCCTGCGACCAATGTCAAGGTCACACATCCTGTGCATATCTTCCCTACTGATTTGTTTTAAGGTTCATTTAACAACACAGTGCCAAGAATAAAAACTTGCTTGCTAGATAACACTTATCCATTATGCCCCCATCTCCATCTAAAGCTTTCGTAAACGGGCATATTTTGTGACTATGGCACCCTTGTTTAAGAATAAGAACTAACATTAACACTGTATATCTTTGTATGTTAATATTACCCATCATAAGCATTGTTCTAGTTATTGTATTTTAGATTGATATAATTATTGATAATGCAAAATGAAACTTTTTTATTTCAGGTTAGAATTGAGTGAAGAATTTGACAGTAGGATAGCTTTGATGCCCTTTGTAAAAGCTGAATCTGATAGGCTGTAAGTATCTATACCAGTACTGTAGTACATATTCATTAAATGATATTCCATCATATTCTTGTGAATGATTTGTTTTGATACTTTCTGATGTTAGAAGTTCATTTAGAAAGTAATCAAACCACAACCATTGACACATGTTCAACACCATTTAATACAGGTAACGCCTGAATTTGGCTTCAGACAACAATTTTAAATAAAAGTTTATATGCCCCTTATTTTCTTCCTTATTTTTACAAAAACATAAAGACCGTATCTACCTGTCAATGCAGGGTCAGGTAGAAGGCTAAATGCTTGTTTACAGTTAACTAAAATTAAGGCCTAGTTGAGTGGAATACACATGGTTACTGCATAAGCTTGTTATTTCATATTTAATCTTTGTTATTATCTATTTACTTATTGAAAATTGTAGGGTATTAAAACAGTGTATTAAGATGAGAGAAGCAGAAAAAGAAATAATGAAGGATGTACCCCACTGGGAGTTAGGAAAATATGCTGGACAAGAGGTAAGTTATATAACATAAAGATTATACCTTTTTTTTAACATCAATGTCACTGATTGAAAATTTTGTATCCATATTTCGAAAGCTGAATATCGTCGATATTTTTAATCCAATAGCTTGTGTAATAACTGTTATCATGGTGTATGCAAGCAGAAAATATCGAAAGTCAGCATGTCTTCTTGTTATCATATCTTACAGATCTCTAGAACAATGAAATCCAGTGTGTTTTCACACTAGGCAATAAAAAGAGAGAATAGTGACTTTTTTCTTTTACAAAAAGTAGAGAAATATTTTCACAAGACATGAAAAAATGAAAAAATGTATGCATATGAAAGAGACTGGAATAAATAATAAACTGAAAAAATGGATTTTAAATTGCATCAATATTCTGAATTGTGAATCAATATTGCATTAGTTGTTGAATATTGATGATATATCAATAGTGCTATTTTGAATTTGAATGACAGCCCTACATCAATGTAAAATAAAATCATGTTCATTAGTGATTTACAAGTGTCTTGGAATTTTTAACATTTTTAGCTCGTCTGTGACAGCGTGAGCTTTCAGGGATAAATTGGCATTGTTTCGTCCACAACTTGTACAAATGACATTTCCTCGGAAATGGAGACCTTGCAGACTGCAGAAATATTACTTGTATGGAGGTCTAAGTTGTTCAGATGATTCAATTGCATATCTAAGTCGCAGAAATTAAAAATGGAATTTAAAATGCAATTCAAACCCTTTAAAAAATTCTTAAAGCTCAAGCCTAAGGCTTAGATATCTACTGCATATCATTATTGTATTTATTATAGTTTAGATTATTTCTGTAGGTCCAAAATATGCCAAGCTCTTAGAGGGTTACTTGATTTTGAATTTTATTTAGGAAAAATCATATAACAGCAAGGTTTAAAGCTTAGATATTTGGTGTGTAGCATTGTCTATTGGATCACTACTGAGTTTGTGTAAATCCTGTAAAAGATAATTGCCCCCTGCCCCAGTGGACACTTGATTTTACTTAGTCTCTAAAATCATAATTGAGCCGCGTCACGACAAAACCAACATAATGGGTTTGCGACCAGCATGGATCCAGACCAGCCTGCGCATCCGCGCAGTCTGATCAGGATCCATGCTGTTCGCTTACAAACCCTATAACAAGTAGAGAAACTGATAGCGAACAGCATGGATCCTGATCAGACTGCGCAGATGTGCAGGCTGGTCTGGATCCATGCTGGTCGCAAACCCATTATGTTGGTTTTGTCGTGACGCGGCTCATATAAAACTTTAATTTCTCTAATTGCCATGAGCTTAGACCTTTGGTGTGAAACAATCATTGCATGGTGAACATCTACCATGTTTGAACATGTTATGACCTTGGCGTCAATATTGGCCTGATCCTGGAGATCACTCGATTTTGCTAAGACTCAAAAAAGAACAACTGTTAAAAATCTTCCAGGTCTAGAGGTTACAATTTGTTTGCCACATTGTGTAGTGTAGACTATTACCAAGTTTGTTCAAATCATAACAAAAGAGTCAAAATTGGCCCGATCTCAGGGTCAATCAATTTTACATAGAGTTGTGTATTTCAGCTATATATATATATGTAGCATAGATTTGACATTTCTATTGCATAATTGCTAATTATTTTCAAATTCTGCATTATGGGATATACACAGTGTGATAAATGGAATTTTTTCTTAACAAATCTATGTTGATTTTCTTTGCAGTTATACCAAAATGAGCAACATCATTTTGACTCATTGTTGGCAAGGGAATTTGAAACTCACACAAAGCCAGTTGCACTAAGGGAGAAGGCAAGAGTTGCCCTAGGAATGGGACCTAGATATCCGTTGTAAACATAAATGTAAAAGAATGGCACAAAAACATCATTTAGTGACGCTGAAAAAGACTTGGATGACAAATTTGGACTGCAGCTTTGAGGATGAAGTTCTGCGTTTTTTTTAAGATAAAGTTGATGAATATTATTATACTAGTATCTATTATGTCAGTTAACTTATTGATAAGATGTGTTGAATAATTAAAAAAATAAAAACATTGAATTTACATATTCCATTGAGTTTGTTTGTTTGTTTTTTGCTCAACCAAACAAATACTTATGTATATGATATACTTGTATGTGTTCTGATAGGAAGCATACAAGTGCACTAAGTACTTGAAGATGAGCTCTTGTCATTTCAATGTGTCTGTTGTTCATCATTGTCCATAGTCATACACAACAAGGCGGTTTTTGACCAAACTTTACAAGAATGACCCTATACTAAAGTTGTTTTTTAAGTTTAATGTAGGTTAGTCACAAGTGCTAAAATAATACTTGTACGCCTGAAGAAACAACTGGTATTGTTTTATGGGGTTGTCTGTCCTTGCGTCTTTAGAGAATTCATTTTTCGCAGGATAACTTTTGAAGGAGGAATGGATGATTGTGGCACGTAAAGTTCGATTTTTGATGCAATCAACTTATTGATAGAATTATTTCCCTTTTAAACGAAATTATTCTGCAAAATTATTAGAAATGCTTACTTTATAAGTCTACATTTCATGTAAACTATGTGACCCCAATGTGTCTGACCACTTTTGTCGCAAAATTACAATGTCATGAGCTTTGATATGTCGTGTAATTTTCTTAATGGCTCTTAGGTAAGAGATCGGGGTCATCATGACCTCTTTTATGCTCAAATTGCTAAAATAAAACATGTACGTTAGCCCTTGATAGAAGTACATGTATTTGAGCTTAGTAATAGGATATTATTGTTACTAATAGAGAATATTCTTCTTTGATGAAAAGAGAAGAAACTAATACATAATTGAGCCGCGCCATGACAAAACCAACATAATGTGTTTGCGACCAGCAAAGTCCAGCATGGATCCAGACCAGCCTGCGCATCCGCGCAGTCTGATCAAACCCTATAACAAGTAGAGAAACTGATAGCGAACAGCATGGATCCTAATCAGACTGCGTGGACGCGCAGGCTGGTCTGGATCCTTGCTGGTCGCAAACCCATTATGTTGGTTTTGTCATGGCGCGGCTCATATGTATTTTATTTTATAGATACAAAGAAATCATCTTCACAGGTTTACTGTAACTGTTTAATTTGGCTAAAAGGGCCACAAATATGCCTTCTTTAAACTTCACGCATTCTCTCTTTTCACCTGTGTTACTTTCGAGAGCATTATTTAATAGTTTCCAACTTGCTTAGAATTAGTATTGGAGTGCAAGATTGTGGTTGATACACCGATTGGAAGGAAGTGTCATGGTTCTACACTTCATGTGTATAACATTTATTGTTCACCGAAAGTGGTTCATCAGTAATGTGATCGTTATTTTAGAAAGCACCGTTAACAGAGTGTTAAAGAACTACTGAATAAATCTTGGAGAAACAAAACATTTTGGTATCATTGTCAAAAATGGTCAAACCATTGAAATCACATTGCAGATTTACATGAACATGTACTTATTTTTAATGTATTATCATTGTGTTCCGTTTGTTGCAATTCACACAGAATATATCAATTTGCCGCTTAGACATTACTGGTGCTGAATATAGCAAACAATTTTAAACATGATATAAACCAATGGGTGGATTCTCCGAACTTGGTGTGTACCATTTTCCTCCTGTCACCTTTCCTGGGGTCCTTTCGAACCGGGACATAGACGTTCATTTGATGTCCCAGCTCCGAATTACTGTCCCCATACTGCTGATAATTCAAATTCTGAAAGTGAATTTGGATTACGTAAGGTTATGAAGCTAATTGATAGCTTATGGAAGGTTAATGGTTTTACACAAGATTTGAGTGTTCGCGTGTTACACAGAAAATGTCGAAAGGGCATCTTAGGTATTCAATACATTTCAATCTGTTTTAACGGACCAAAAATACAAATGCATGAAATACAGACTCGAACTTCAGGGAACATAGTTTGTTGCAGTAAAGCATAAATAATTAAAATAATTAATTACACATTTATGACATAAAGGAGAAACAAAGAATCACATAGGACGTGTATCAAACATATTACATGTAAATGGTTAGACCCCACAAGGGACGCATTGGCTTTTCGTCCAATGTCTAATAAGGCATGTAGCAGAACTGCCAATACCATTAACTATTCCGGAAGGGAGAGAATTATACCAGTACAATGTATATATAAATACTATTTCTCTCCCTTTATTAAATACATGAAACCTGCGCGATGTTTAAAAATATACGTATTGTTAGAATTTCTACTTGGTTAATTCCACATATAATAAAATACTAAAATAACTGTTCTTAATTTCTTTTTTCGTTTATTTAATATATTAAATTTGACGAGTGGTTGACTAGTCATTGAATATTAAAAAGCATTTTAACATTTTGCTACTTTAAAGACAAATAATTTCACATTTCAGCATGTTGTTGTTTTTTTTGGCTAATTTATATGCTTCCAAAAATGCATGAAAGTAAATTGTCACCACTTCTGCTTCCAAATTATCTCTTCAAAGGGGCTGTACTCGATTACTACATTATTTATGTACTAACACAGAATAGGTCATATTGCGACTTTCCAGGACATCACTAGACATAATATATATCATATTATATTTCTCATCCGTAACCAGTTCATGATTTAATCACAAAAATTTATTCAATTTTAACATGAACGAAAAACAAGAGAATCAGATGTTTCCGGTTAAGAAATCATCAATCCTGTTTCCAGCCCTACAATATCTTCATTTAAAACTTTCTTAAACAAGGACAGAAAAATACACCAACATACTTTTATACAGGTAGTCGTAAACTGCAGGTCCTTCACACTCGGCTTCGAACGAACTGCAGCGCATTAAATCACCACCTGTTTTTGATAAACATTTCTCTTACCCCTTTGTGTAATTGTGGGCAAATTGAAACTACCCAACATTTCTTTTTCGAGTGCTGTGCATACGATGCCGTCCGCAGAACTCTCCTCCTTAACTTGCAAGACTTCAGCATAAACCTTTATAAACTTCTCTATGGTGACCCATCTCTTACATACCAGGACAACGTTATTATATTTACAAATGTACAAAATTATATAGAAAAAACGAAAAGATTTACTTAGATCCATTCTAATTGAGACTATAATCCTCTCTCACCCTCTTACTTCTCTTTCCCACTATTTTGTTTTCTTCTTTTATATATATTCTTACATTTTAAACATCTACTTGTAGTTAATCTATTCTATATAAGTATCTTCTCTTTCCCACTATTTTGTTTCCTTCTTTTATATATATTCTTACATTTTAAACATCTACCTGTAGTTAATCTATTCTATATAAGTTTATATAATATATAAATATATATTTTTATGTGTGTATAATTAATACTTATTCCCTTGTCTACTATATACTAATTATAAACTTATTTAAGACAAACCCTATATAGTTCGCCAAAGGAGAAGAATTCTATAAGACTTGTCTTTCATTCTCATCCTTTTCCATTGTGTAAAACTGTTTTGTTTGTTATATATTTGTATGTACATTATATATACTTTCGGGAATAAATATGTTTAAACTAATCTTGTTTCCGTCGGATAGGAAGCTCGAACACAATAGTAAGAATACACAGTACGGATACGGTATTTCGGTCTACCCTATGATAAGAACAAAGAGTAATTCTAATGCTAGCAGTTTTAGACTCAATTTATATCAATATATCGAGTAAAAATTCACCAAAATTTAGCAACTTTACAAAAATGGTTAGTACAACCAAAGGGACCCGGCACAGTGTTTGGATAGTGTAAAAAAGTAATTCTAGAAAAAAATAGTTTATATATAATATATAGACTATTACATATAAACTTTATTTTTTTCTCTCTAAAATTACTTTTTACACTATCCCAACACTGTGGCGGGTCCCTATGAGTATACAACATGTATACCTGTTGTCATTTGTTCGGATTTGGTTATAACTGTATCTCAGTGAACATTTTTAAATTGATTATATATGATTGTCAGAAGTATGTGAAATCATAATTTTACCAAATCAGACTTTATATTTCCTCTGGATGTCAAATATATACATTCGTTATACCTTATCAAGGGTAGAACTACTTTCAACCCAGGTTATTATTGATAAATAGCCAAGATGTTCCGATTGGTCGATTTCTGACATCTATAGCATGGACGAGTTCATACTACTTTTTATATTTTATATACGCCTTCCACGAGCTCAATAAGGATAGACGTTAAGGCATCGCTGTTAACATTTTGAAGGAAGTCAATATCTGCTGTCTTAAATATGTTAAAAACAATCGGATTCTTTCTCGGATTGCTATTCTTTACTCATTGCGCATTCTCTGAGAGGATTGTGAACACTGATGGTGTAAGAAATGCATTAAAAGTAAGGTTTAAAATATTTAAAGATGTACCAAGGAGTGAAGCAGAGGCGATAGAAATGAACTTTACAAAAATAAGTGATTGTGAAACTGAACATTTTAGAGGGAAACAGTACATGAGATATGGTGACCCTTTGATTATACCGCTCTTTGACGTCAACGGGTATATAGCCGGGCTTCAGACTGGAGTACCAGTAGGACTTGATAATAATTACCCACCTGCAATTATGCAACCCCCATTTATTCAAGATGGTGATCTATTTAAACTCACAGCCTACTTTGTAGACCCTTTATTGATATGTAAGCGCGGCCGATCCAAACAACAATTTATTCGCACTGGTACTGGTCAAGATTTATTCATCCAAACGGGAAAAGATCCGGAAACCGATATTCTTGAGATTGACGAACACATGACTGAGACAAAATGGGTGCAAGGTCTTTGCTTCCCGCAAATGGGCTACCATTACTTCAAGGAAGTTTCTTTAGACATGTCTTGTGAAACTTTTTTTCCCGTGGCATTATTGTATTATCATGGGGAACTGCAAGGATTCGTTTGGTCTTTGGGCGCGATTTTGAATTCAACATTCGTAAGTTACGAATACCCTGAACCAGAATTTTTCCTCGAACTGTTGAAAGAAGTGCCAACTTGCCTGAATACACTACGCAGGTCGACAATGCACGTGTATTTCAAAGATAATATCGATACCTTTACCTGCAAGGCTCCACCTGCCAAGGAATCCCCGTGCACCAGTGATTCTGCGTTTCCAGTACTAGAGAAGATATTGATAGTGTGGTTCTCCATTTTTATGTTGATAAAAATGACTTATTGAACTAAAACCGAACTTTATAACTACTGTATACTTTAAATTTTATCTGGAATATATATTGTTTTTTTTTGCACATCATTAGTTTTAAAAAGACTGGTTTAAGGACTGATAAATATGGAAATTCAGCAAGTTAGGTTTCAATTTATTAATGGAGGGATTTAAATAAAATGTTTTGAATTTTGACCGTAACGGAATTCAATTGATATATGACGACGGTGATTAAAGATGTATTTCAGGATTTTAACTACATGTACATGTATATGCATCAGTAGATGTAAGAGGTACAAGTCAATGTATTTGTTAATCGACTTATGATATGTTTTTCATACATTAAACATCACTTCATCTTAATAGATTTCAGTGTAAATAATGATGTTATTTTTTCTTTACTTGCACTTTTGACGCTATCACTCGTTTATGCAATGCTGTTTGATTTATATCATATTATGCAACATAAATTAAGTGTCTTCTGTCATACTTTTTCATATTTTCAAACAGCTGGTTAATAAAAAATAAATGAATAAATTAATATAGAAATAGTGAATGAATAAATGTCGCTGGAGTTCAGATCGATGTTAACAACCGATAATAGGTCATATTTCAATATGCAATATTCATTCAACCTTCTACATTGACAAAATACTTTCAAATTCAACATATGATATTCACATTATATTATATTATATCTGTATATATATATATATATATATATATATATATATAGCAATGAACATGTTGTATATTTATGTTGAATAAACTCTTCAAGGTAATCTTAATCTTTTAAGAGTGTACAACATTTACAACAGCTTAATTGTCCTTAACTAATGGGCTGTCAGTGCATACTCCATTGCATAAGCTTACAGTTTCTTATAAAAGTATGGGCGTGTTTTACAGAGCTTAGAAGGATATAAATGTGTTTGTTCTGGGTAAATATGCTATATAACGCACTGAGAAAATTTTAGTATTTTAACGTTACTAATATGTAAATACATGTGCTTTCTTCAAACATGAAACTCGAAATCATTTTGTAGGCGCCTGCGAGGTAAACATTATATGGAATTATTCTCTTAAAGAAGAAGCAATAGCTCTTTTATTCAGGAAGGAGTCTATTTCATGAAAAAAAAAAAAAAAAAAAATACCCAACAAAATATGATATAAATATGAGCCGTGTCACGACAAAACCAACATAATGGGTTTGCGACCAGCATGGATCCAGACCAGCCTGCACATATGCGCAGTCTGATCAGGATCCATGCTGTTCGCTTACCCACTCTGTTACAAGTAGAGAAACTGATAACGAACAGCATGGATCCTGATCAGACTGCGTGGAAGCGCAGGCTGGTCTGGACCCATGCTGGCCGCCAACCCACAATGTTGGTTTTGTCGTGACGCGGCTCAATAAGGAGCGCCAGTTTGATTCAATTTACCCCATGTTTTGTCGCCTAATATGATTTGAATATTAATAAGTACCGTGCACATAAATTGTAATTGTCAGTCTGAACGGCGAAACACTATGGCCCTCTACATATGCCACATGGGTCAAATATTACCACCACCACCACCACCACCAATATTATTACCACTGTGGTTATAAAGACATTATAAAAAAAACCATGGCCGCGCTCACAAGTGAATTTTTTTACATCGACTTGTGTAAGTAACTTTAAAAAATCCTTTTTCGGAAACTACAAGGCCCAGGACTTAGATATTGTTCTTTTTGTTTTTTGCAAGATATGGGCATTTTACAGTAGATCCAAATATTGATTGGTCCTCATTTTGATCTGATTATTTTTGTTTTTCTTTTGTTATTCATTGATTTTCTTCCCCCAAAAAACGTATCAGCAATTTTTGGCATTTGAAATATGTACCATTTATATCTAGCAAAATACGTCAATTTTAATTTTATAAAATAATGAAAATAAAATCATGATCATTTGATCCTGATCCCGATCTTTTCTTATTCTAGGGTCAAAATTGGCCTCGTCCTAGAAGTCAATGGGCTTATGTATAAAAAGGGGAAATTCCTTAAGATCCACAAAGATGAAAATATTGCAAGATCGGTCCCATTCAAAATGTAATAAATGTTTCTTTCAATACTATTTGCTAATATTTTCAGTTTTTAAAACTGCACGCCTAACTTTTATGAACATTTGAATATTGCAAAGTTTATGTCAACCTAGCCCAATGCACTTTTAATCCATATAAATTATCAAACAAAACAATAAAAATGTTGAAATAACTACTAATGGGACAGAAATAAGCTCACAAAATACTAAATTTGGTCATATTATACATCAAATAAAAGTGGTGATTTGTATTACTAGTATTCTCAATAACTATATATTTTTACATGTACTAAATTTTGCCATTTTATGCATCAAACATGTTAAGTAGCAATAAGTATCATAACGAATAGCTTTACATTTTTAGTCTACTCATATAATTTCGTTTAAGTTTTATATTTTGAAACTAAAGGCATGCAGCTATTAAGCATATTGAATGTTTCAAGCGATACGGAAATGTCATACAGCCCGCCAGAGTTGATGATATCCGATGTACACGAGTTCCAAATTACATATTTTATTTATTTAGATCTAAATTTTTGCACAACAACTCGAAAATTTTACGTATACATATTGCCATGTTGTTGCCGTTTATGTGTCAAAACTTAAATACATGTATATATATATCTATTATAGTGTACTTCCGGTTTTACAATAACAATGCGTATTATGCCTCAGAAACTAAAAAATATTTCCTTCTTTAGAAAAGTAGAAATGATTTTTTTTATGTTTAAATAATGGTTTAAGAGCATGTTACATTCTTATCATATGAAGAAAATACCGCTAATCTGAAATCATTTGTCACAAAAGTAGTACAGTGTACACAAAGTAGTATTTGAACTTCCATACAAAATACTTAATCACTATAACTGTACTTATTGCCAAAAAGCAACATAAAAATACTCATGTAAATGGCCAATGGAAACTTTAACAGGACACTCGAGGTAAAAAGCTTTTAATAAATGAAAATGGAAACATTTCTGAGGAATGGTCCTTTAAACTAATATTGCAATGTTTTTGTAAAATGCTATATCATGCACACATCAACGCAATTCTTTCACCTTTGCAAACTCTAAAACAAAACAAAAACAAATATTTTCATCTATGTCACATTTATTATAAATGCACCCGTGTCAATATTAAAGAAACTGTATTTTTAAAACATTGTAAAATAAAACGAATCAAAGAAGCACATGTAAGGCACAAAGATGTCATCAGCGTTTCCGAGTAACGTTAGTTTCTTAAAACGACGAACTACTCGAAAGAAAAGAATTCGTCCTGGTTCACACGCTTACATCATATAAAAATTTGTTTACAGAAGCAAAAAATACTTATATATAGTTTCTTGGCATTTAAAATGCGCTAATTTATTTCCTAAACGTCTCAGATAAGTTTATTTTATTTTCATACCAATTTACCAGAATTACTGATTTTATTTTAGACCTCTTCATATATTCATACATTCAGTGTGACTTGTCTTTGCCATTATATATGCGTTCATTTCTTTCTAAATCGTCTCAGATTATTCTTATTGTTGTAAATGGAACCTTAAATTAACATTGAAAAAAACTAAAGTTGTAGTTTTTAGGAAAGGAAGGAGGTTTAGAAGAAACGAGATGATTTCGATAATAACAATGCTGGTGAAGATGATAGCTATTATATGACGATAATGATATTTATGATGACAACGACGGTTAAGATGATGATGATGATGATATCTATGATGACGACGACGGTGAAGGTGATGATGCTGATGATGATAATGATATTTATGATGACAACTACGGTTAAGATGATGATGATGATGAAATCTATGATGACGACGACGGTAAAGATGATGATGATGAACTCTATGATGACGACGACGTTAAAGATGATGATGATGATATCTATAATGATGACGACGGTTAAGATGATGATGATGATGATGATGATAATGATATCTATACTGCTGAAGACGGTAATGATGATGAAAGCAATGATGACGACGACGGTAAAGATGATGATGATGAAATCTATGATGACGACGACGGTAAAGATGATGATGATGATATCTATGATGACGACGACGGTAAAGATGATGATGATGATGATAATGATATTTATGATGACAACGACGGTTAAGATGATGATAATGATGATGATGATGATGATGAAATCTATGATGACGACGACGTTAAAGATGATGATGATATCTGTAATGATGACGACGGTTAAGATGATGATGATGATAATGATATCTATACTGCCGACGACGGTAATGATGATGAAAACAATGATGACGACGACGGTGACAATAATAATGATGATTGGGAAAATACTAAAGAAACAAACGTTTTACAGCTTGTCTGATCTTTCGGACTTGAAGATGTTGATATAGTCCCAATTCTTGTAGAAAGTCTGTTTTTCTGCACGAATCTCGTTCTCGTCCTTCTTGCAACAGACGGTTTCATTTCTTCTTTAGTATCTTCTTCTAGAATGTCAATTTCTTTCGGTGACAGAATCATCCCGCTGAATAATGACGGCATTCCTTCATTGTCTTCGCCTCGACATTTATCTCGTGTGAGAAGAGAAACTTTATGTATACTTTTTATTGTATTATTAATGTAATCAGACACAGCTAGGGGGTATGTACAAACATTCAGTTGAAGATATGAAAAAAGCCACAAAAATCGCCATGTTCAATCTCTTACCCACTTTACTAAGCTTTACATTTTAATACAAACTTAAAAATGTATAACCTGTCATTTGAACAATTCAACGCAATTCTTTCAAACCTTTGCAAACTCTAAAACAAAACAAAAACAAATATTTTCATCTATGTCACATTTATTATAAATGCACCCGTGTCAATATTAAAGAAACTGTATTTTTAAAACATTGTAAAATAAAAACGAATCAAAAGAAGCACATGTAAGGCACAAAGATGTCATCAGCGTTTCCGAGTAACGTTAGTTTCTTAAAACGACGAACTACTCGAAAGAAAAGAATTCGTCCTGGTTCACACGCTTACATCATATAAAAATTTGTTTACAGAAGCAAAAAATACTTATATATAGTTTCTTGGCATTTAAAATGCGCTAATTTATTTCCTAAACGTCTCAGATAAGTTTATTTTATTTTCATACCAAATTACCAGAATTACTGATTTATTTTAGACCTCTTCATATATTCATACATTCAGTGTGACTTGTCTTTGCCATTATATATGCGTTCATTTCTTTCTAAAATCGTCTCAGATTATTCTTATTGTTGTAAAATGGAACCTTAAATTAACATTGAAAAAAACTAAAGTTGTAGTTTTTAGGAAAGGAAGGAGGTTTAGAAGAAACGAGATGATTTCGATAATAACAATGCTGGTGAAGATGATAGCTATTATATGACGATAATGATATTTATGATGACAACGACGGTTAAGATGATGATGATGATGATATCTATTTTAATACAAACTTA